AATTCCCTTGTTGCCGTCACTTCTTGGCGGTCTTATATACAAGAGTACCGCACATCTAGTTAAACACTCGAGCATTCACGAACCTTCGAGAATATCATGACGTGTTACTAGGGTCACGTGACTTCCGCTGTCGTAACAATATATTTATCGCAAATAAAGACACATTGAACTTAGCAAAGTTGTAAAGAGTGCATGTACACGTTAGATAAAAATAGAATAATTATTTTTGTATATTTCTATAATATTAAAACTAATTTTTTGTCACTTTTGACATTATTTTACACACTTTTAGATGTACATTCTGTATATATAATTTTATTTTATCATTATGTTAAATTTGAAGTTGTCATTTATCTAAGTTGTTTTGAAGTCGATGCCAGCTAATATCTTAAGGTGTTTTTAGGTGTGGGGCCTGTACAACATTGGCTCCAGAGTATGAGAAAGCTGCCATCGTTATGAAGGAAAATACCCCACCAGTAACTTTTGCTAAAGTGGATTGTAGTAAAGAAGGACAACTTCTTGTAGAAAACAATGTTTCAGCATTTCCCACTTTGTACATTTTCCGTTGGGGGCGTCAGTATCCTTACGAAGGTGGAAGAAACAAATCAAGTAAAGCAACAGATAGTTAACAGACAAAATATGCATGAATATTTGTAATAAGTTTAAATTTTCTTTCTAGCATTACGCCCAGTTGTTATCAGTAAATATATGACATGTATTATCTTGTTAAATACTATCTTGCTTCTATCGTATAGCAATATAACTTAATTTGTTCTTTTTCCAAGATCATGCCTGTGTACTCTTATCTTTCCCCTCCCCATTTCAGAACGGAATTTTATTAAACTTCCATTCTTCAGCTTGTCTTAATAATGATTAACTTATTATTGCTTATGTGTATAAGTAGGTGTTGACTGATAACATTTTTAACTTATTAAATTTGTTTAGACAAATATAAACAGTGTAGCCAACAACAGTATATTTAACAAAATAAATATAAAAAAAATGGTGAGGGTGATGTAGATTTCAGTAATATTATTGAAGTTATATGGAAAAAAGTTTTTTATTTTGCTTTTTTAACATAAATTCTGACTTCACTAAATTACTACATTGGAGATTTTCCTTATCATTTATAGAAATATTGTTCTTTTTTAATCTATAGTAAGCATGATAATAATCAGCTGTTACTAATAATAGACTCTGTGAAAGAAATCTATAATCTTTTTCACTGTAATTCTTTTTTTTTGTACATTTGTTTTTTTTTTCATATTACATGTAAAGGTATCATTGAATACATGAAAGAAGAATCAAAACCTCCAAGCAAAGAAGCAAAAACTGTTAAGGCTTTGGAAAATTACAAAAGCAAGAAGGATGTAAATGTCATTGGCTTTTTCAGAAATGAAAAGGATAACCTTTATAAAGAGTACCTGTTAGTAGGTATAGTATCTAAGCTTCTCAGTTATATTTCATTTCAACGAATTTTAATAATTACTTCAATAAGTAATGCTGAGATATGTTATTGCACCATAGTGTTATAAAAAAAATAAGAACATTTATATACAGATGTATACATTTATATATTTTTTACATTTAGGGTAAGAAAATAATTCAGATTATTATTTATGTAGATATGCTTTCATGATCAAATTTTAAAAGAAACATGTATTTAATGTTATATTATTAAAACGTGTGCAGTGTAAAAATTTAAAACCTCTTGATCATTATGATATATTTCCTAGTTTAAATCAAGTTTAAGAATTAAATAATACCAAAATCTTCAGCTTTTTTATATCATCAGGATGCACTTGCGAACCAACCATCTAAAAGAGTTTTGTTAAATTTTGAACATTTCTCTTTTGTTACACCATGCTGTACTAAATCTGCATCATAGAGCAATGGTTAACTGAATGTCATAATTTATATTTCTAGGTGAAATAACTGCTTATACACTTTTTTAATTATGTAATTCATTGTTTTTAAGAATTAATAGCACTATAATATTGCTTTTAATGCTAAAAAAACATTATTAGGCAATTAAATGATACTTTCTTTTAACTATGACAAAGGTGAAGTTTTCCTTACTAATATTTTGACATTCTTTGAAGAGTTTACAGCTTATGTAGATGATGGTACCAGTGTGGATATGGTATATCTAAATTTTCAGACAGTATTTGACAAGGTGCCACATAAAAAGCTTGTTAAAGAAGTTATCTCTGTAGATGTGGAGGATAGGTTGGCTCACTGGATAGAAAACTTGCTAGATGGAAGTAACCAGAGGGTTGTTATAAGTGGAGTTCTGTCAAACTGTATTTAATGTTATGAGTGGAGTACCCCAGGACTCAATGCTTTGACTATTTCACTAACTGGGTGGTTCATATCTGTAATGGGTTACCTTCAGATGTAGTGGATGCAATTAATTTAAGGGAAAGTTGATAAGGGCTGGCTTTGAGTTTTTCTTTTTTTAAGGATTTAATTTAGTGGATAGGACAGCCTAGATTGAACAAAAGGTTCCTTACTGTCTATTAAGACTGTTATGTTAAAGAAATGAAAATTAATACTGTTTGATGAACTAGTCTTAAAATAGCAAAAATGTACATGATTAGTTATTAGCTCCACTATGATGTACAAGTATGTTGCACATATATATATATATGTAGGATGGGCCATAGTACACCTCATTTACATTATACTGTTACGTCTCCGTTTGTTAATTAACTTTCCGTAACTTCGTTCCGACGAAACTTTGG